ATTGACATCCATTGGGATGATCTGCCAATTTTGTAAAAAGGCTCATCCCTCACAAGTAAAGCAAATGTTCCAACTGCATGCCAGCATTTGCACAGCACTGTCTCAGCCTACAGTACTTTACATGATGCTGAAAGAAATATGTTGTGTCTGAAAAACACAGCAATCAAAAATGCAGGATTTAACTTAGCTCCCTAGTGTGCATGTGCTGTGACATAACTTTTATTTACCTGATTCCCCTCCCCTGAAACTCTTCATTCAGATGGCATGGTAGGGAAATCATTAAGGGAAAAACACATGTGACTAATAGGGTCCCTAACTTGTTTTATTCAGAAGCTGGATATGCCTAGGACAACTGTTCTGCACCAAATGATCATATGCAGTAGGAACAGCTCTAATGATCATTTCTAATACAAAACCTATGTACATTGTTTTAAGGAAATGGATGACATGTGATCATGAGACAGCTTTCCAACAGAAATGGTGAATATGATTGCACAGAGAACCAATGAAACCTTAAAAATTGCACATTTCCTTGATCACCTAGATGCAGAAAGATGAGTCTGTTACCAGAAGAGGTGCAGTGAAAATCTTCTAGTACAATCAAAGAAAGAAGGAACTCTTTTTTTACATAAGAAAACTGAAAAACATGGCTAACCTAGTCAGAGAAAGGCTATGGGGCATATGATTGCTACCTACAAATATATCAGGGAATGAGAGAAGGAATGGTAGGGAATTAAAGAATTAATCAAAATAAGTACATTTGTACAAGAATTAATAGGTATGAAAGTGCCAGAATAGGTTTAGACTGAAGACTATAAGAATTTGTCCAGCCTCCTGAGCTATGAGATATTTAAATAGCAACAAAAGAATGATGAGCCATTTTCTAAAATTCTACAGAGCCTTTTCTAAAGGCTACAGAGCAGACTGTGAGGCTCTGAAAATCACTACTTAGGCATCTAAATAGGATTGCTCATAGTCACACATGTCTGGGGGTAGCTGAAAAGTCAACTTCTTTTCCTCACTCGAATTGGAGATCTTGTCCTTTTTAACTCTCAGATTGCTTTGTGTTCCTACTTTGCAAGGAATAGACAGTTACATATTAGTGGCACACCTGTATTTGTGTGATCTTGAATCGAGAACAACAGAAGAACAGCTGAAGATGCAAATGCAAAAGATAGTCCGAAATCATAGACAAAGAAAGCTTGCTGACACTGCAACACTCAGAATTCAAGAATGGATCAAAGCCATCAGCTTCTGGAAGGAAATCATACTGCTAATGTTCCCATTCAATCAGACAATGGATATATTTCCAGCTCAATTTGTTAAGTTTGAGTAAGAAGAAAAATAACAAGGACTAATGTTCCTGAACAAGGGAAATTATGCCGAAACTTCTCTGCAGAAGCACATTGTGGGGAAAAAACCACAAGCCTTGCTCTGAAAGCTGCGTTCCAGCCATTCTTATAAAGACTTCACATTTCTCCTGACCTTAAAAGAAACATTTTCCTTACGAGAAAGGAGCAGATGGAGTCAGGCTTTCCACAGCAATGGGTTTTACCAAGAAAACAGTGGGCAGAAGGCCCTCAGGGGAATCCCTCTGCAAGCATGAAGCAACACGTCCCCTGTTGGGACAAGGAAGCCCTGGAATATTCTATAGCACGGCTTAAGCTCTAGGAATACTCTCTAGCATGACTTAATTGGTGTGTTGCTCTGTAAGTACAACAGCTATTCGATTTAAGCTGGAGCTTCTCTTAAGTTATTTAAATGTTGTGTAAGGATGACAGTATCACAAGCACTGCTAATAACAGGGCAGAGGGAGGCCCTGTGTCACACAGTTATCGTGGATGCAGAGCCATTCACTTTTGGCACATTCAGAGGAAGACAGACACAGAAAAGTTAAAGCAGAGTAGTGGGAAACAATCCTTGTGGCTCTTTCCTCTTTGTTTCCAAAAGTTAGTCTTGTACTTGCATGCACAAGTACAAGTCTGCAGATATTGTCGTGGTACACATCTCCCTCTCTGCCCTTACACAGCATATTACCAGCTAAGACTGAGGATTCAAGTGAATCCAAACCCTGAAATTTAGGAGTTTACAAAACAGAATGAATGTTAGAGCTAAGAAGTAACCTTATGTGTCCCCTAACCTACAGACTGCTGAGCAGGCACTGCTGATGCTAAAATGTTTATTAACATGCTCTGCCAGGATATCAAGTAGGTATCCTCTCTATTCCTGAGGTCACATTCTTTTTGACTGTGCTGTCAGACAACAAGATTAGCTGAAAAGCCTGTAGGTATCATGTCTGAATTCATAGGCTCAAATATCTTACAGATGATGATTTCAAGAGCAGGTGGTCAGCTCATTAAATCCTGATTCACGTCAGCAGACCCTCTCCTTCTTTGAGATGTTTCTGCCCCTTCCCTCCTCTCCAGCTCCCTGGGCGTGGGATAAGTGTGCCTACCCCTTTGAAAGCATACCAAATGCACTCTTCAATGTGTTTGGTGCAGTCTCTTAGCACAAAAATCTGCAGCTGTTCCAGAGATGATAAAGCAGGCTTAGGGCAGAGATTAGCCAGATCTGAAACTGTTGTCATCTTAATATACAGGACCTTAATCATCTACATGCAATCCCAAAGGACTAGAGGTGGAAGAGTTAAAAAATTTAAAAAGCAGGGAATAAGTGGCATAAAAAACCCCAGTATTTTCTCTTTCATTTTTTAATTTGATGTTTTTCCCAAAGTGTTTGGAATTGCCCATGATAACTGATGGTGATCTATGAATAAGACTGTGCTGAAATTACAATGGTTGGCCCTTTTAGATAGAAATTAACAGCAAATTGTCATTACAGAACCCTCTGTGACAGAACTTTGTGTAAGTGGCCAAAACCACAGGATACATTTCATAATTATTCCAGCCATTAGATGAAAATGGTTTTGGCATTGAAAACATGAACAAATTAAAAAAATAGTAACTGATTCTTAATTTTTTTGTTCATTTTGGTTGGTTGGTTTTGGTTTTGTTTCTTCCATTCTTTTCCCCCCCACAGTGAGGTAGCATTTTATTTATGGGGCTGAGCTTCCAATTCTTTTTAACATAGTCTGCTTTAAATTCAAGTTTGAAAGTAACACACAACACTACTTCTTTTCTAAGTCTGCAAAACTTTCTCTCTCACCTCTTCTTCCAGTCCTGAGCAAATGAAAGTAGCACAGAGAAAGTTTGTTTCCTTCCTGATTCCCTATAGGGTCACCTAGTTCTTGCCAACAGTTCATTGTTTAAAAAGGCTTTGCTCCCTCTGCTGGCTATTCTGTCCTGATATAGCATCAAAATTAGGAGTGTCTGTGATATCAATGACAAAGTTTCAATGAAACAAACAAAAAAAAAATACAAAATCCACAGTCATCCTCTACATAGCCTCTGAGTAAATCCAATTTGCACTTAAATAATCCGTCAGAATAACTTTATTCTCATTAACTTTGCTGAATATGCCTTTGTCTCTAAAAAGATGTAGCAGCAATATTACTTCATATTTAAAATTCACTCTGTTTCTTCACTTTGCTTTTGATATTTACGCCTGAAAACGAGTCCTGGGCATGAACAGTTGGAACACCTGCATGTATTTGTCCAGAGGATGCATTGAGCACAGCTGGATGTGGGCTGTGGTAAGTATCAAGGACCCACCACAGGGCCCAGCTTCTCTTTCAACTGTTTCACAACAAAATAAACCTGGAGAATATTTCTCTGCTTATGGCAAGAATCATAGTTGCTCGACGAACTAAAGTTTGGAGGGAGAATTTGGCCGGCAGTAATGAACAGGATTTGCAACAAAGACTTTATTCAGATGTAAGTAATTGCAGTAGCATCCCATGGAAAAAATAATAACAAGAGAATTGTTCATAAATGTTCTGCTACAAGGTGCAACTGTGTTGATTTTTTTTTCCCAAAACCATATCAAACTTTTTATTATGTCATGATATGTGCATGAATGTTTTTATCTTGGTTTCGGGCAGTTTCACCTGGCATCTCAAATTTTTGAACCTACTAGTTATTTCTCTTATTCATGAAGATAATAAGAACCTACATCCAGTAACAACATTTTTAGTCTGAAACCAGTGTGACTTTGGAACCTGCTTATATGTTCCCAAATGAATCCACACCCCTTCAACCATTGAAGTTGCACTAGGGCTTGTGTCAGAAATCATATCAGTTTCTGAAGGATGCTGGAGTAGGGGGAGTAAGGCAGAAAGAGAAGAAGGCCCCAAAGCAAAACATTTCATTGCCTTCCAGAGGCAAAATCATCTACGTAGGACTCAGCACAATATAGATTAAGACTTGACAACTTTCTATTCTGAACAGGGTTAAAAAAACCTCTTTTTCTACTAGGACACAAAGTATTAATAGAGTTCCTCTTCATCTGACAACTACTGCTAGAAGGAACTGTCAGCACCAGTTCGACATCACAGATATATGTTTCTGAATCTAGAATAATCATCACTGTTCAAGCACCACTAGTCTTCCTTCCTCCACATTTTGGTAAATGGGCAGGTTGAAAATACACTTGGCTTTTGTCCACAGATCCATCTATTTTACTGGCAAGAGGGTGAAGTACAAACAAAAAACAATAGGTACTTAAATGGATTTTCAAAAACTCTAACCATTAACAAAACAACAAAAAGTTCATGCTCACTTTGAAAAAGAAAAAGATGGTCCAGCAAGATTTTCTCCAGAGCACTGACAAGAGTTGAGTTCCTCTTGACTGCCCATATATCACAGCAAAGTCATGGGATATTTCAGCTGAAGATTAAAAAAACCCCAGTGACTTCTCCTAGGCTTCCCTCAGACCTCTCCCCTCACTGAGGGAAGCCAAACTGGATGCCTCAGCACACTGTAAAACTTCTGCTGGAGCTACAGTGTGGGCATGCTTGAGCCCCACTCCAGCACAGGGGGAAAAACAAAGCAAAATACTTCAGGCTGTTACCTCCTGAGCAGCTCATTCCTTTGTGTGTGTTGTGGTTTGCCACACTGCTGACAAACAGTGAAGCTGGTCTGGCCACAGGCCCTGTGCTCTGCCATCTTGCAGTCTGTGGAGCACATGCCTAACAGCAAAGCTCTACTTCAGGTGGTTTTAAACAAAGGATGTATGCATATACATACATACATACATATACGTGTATGTATATATATGCATACACACACATATAACTCCTAGAAGATAACTTTTAATGATGTGTATTATAAGACTGGCTGGTCCGGAAAGTTGAACAGAAAATATTGAAATAAATCCCCGAAAAGGCAGAGCCTAGAGTCAATAGCAAAAGATAAATGATGCAGTCACAGGATTACAATAGATCTATTTCTTCTCAGGTACACATTTTCTCTCATGTGCTACCCACATAATAAACAATTTATATGTGTCACAGCTACATAACCTTGTCCATGGCAAAAGAAAACACTGGCATATAATGTGACAGACTAAATATGAGCCTGAAAAATCCCATATACAACTGAAACAAGATTTTCCCCATGAAAAAGTAGGAAGAATTTTGAAAAGCTTGAGAAATGCGATGACCTAGTTGAGATTTCTCCACAACTGATGATCTAACTCACTCTGTTTCTACAGGAGGTGCACTGAAATCTTTACTGACTCTGTGTCATCAGAGCCCTGCTTTTAAAACAACCTGGAAAAGTTCAGATCATGCTGTGATTTAGCAAGGTCTGTGTTCCTTTCCAACTGTACTAATTCCTGCAGACTGCAGACCAGTGATGTTAGCAAGTCCTTTAGGTATTCCTCATACCTGGATGTCACACCATGTGAAAAGATATGCTATTTAACACACTGTGCGTACAAGCACTCCCAAAGATAAAAGCTTTTCCTCCCCTACACTCCTATTTAATTTTAACATTTCTCATGACAAAAGCTATTAGTTCAGCCTGTTGATGATGATAAACAATTCTAACTTGTGACTTTACCACTGAACTGTTTCTGAAGACATTTTTTTTTGACACATAGGAAGCCAGCCATTGCTTTCTAACGTGTCTGCACATAAACCCTGAGCAATTTCATTAGCAGTTAAGAGTGTGAGGTTGCGGGACATCAGCAACCATTTACAGATTCACTGGAGGAGTCACACAAGGCCCATGAAATTCAATCTCACAGCAAGGAATATGCATGCACAGAGAACATCCACATTTTGAAATGCATCTCCCTCAAATCAGCACCAAAATCTAAGTCAAATAAAACCATGATCCTGCTCAGAAGTGAATGTAGGAGTTCAGACAGAGATTACCTCCTGTGGATGTAAATGTACTATTAGCTGCATTAGCAACAGAATTTAAGCACATGCCCAAGAAGTATTTCTGTGTCAGGGTATTATCTATCCATCCACTTGCCAAGTATGCTGCAGGGCCATTCTCTGAAAGTGTCCACATCCATATTTAACAGACGTTTAAACTGAGCCAAGCCTGTGGGGTCAACATGTACAAACTGACACTATGCCAACTTTTTTTTCTTTTTTTATTCTTCTTTTTTTTTTTCTTTTGGTGGAATTACACTGATTCAGAGCAGATGGAGCTGGCGTCCCCTGACTTTAATTGGAGTTTATATTCACTCTTTGAGAGTTTTGGTCATGCCTTTGGCTGAATGTAGTCCACACTGACTAGTGTAGCCCAGTGGAGATAACGTTACTACTGCAGTATTAGCTTTTGTATCCCTTGAATAGTTTTGGTGTTAATACTGCACAGCTTGTCACATTTCTGACTTAAAGGGATACATTAATGGGTTAAAAATCCACATATCTTAATCTAGGCATGCATGAAACCCACTAGAATTTATTAAAATGCTAAAACTGATGTATTTTTTTAAACATCTTTCAAATAACTGAAGTCTTTCTCATATCCAGTAATCACATATGCTCCCTTACTTTACTCCAAAGACATTTCTGCAGATAAATGCCTGCTAGTTTGCAGGAAGTTCTCCCCTAGCAGGGAGTCAGATGCTTGCTAATAGTGCATCAATCCACTGACTAACACTTGCTCAGTGAAGCAGACATCTGGGTGTAGGTCAATATTTCCTTATTACTTCAGTGTTTGAGCCATGTCAGGACATGCACATGTATGCACACAGGAAATCACTACCAAATTTAAGGGCAATTGTCCAAAAGGCCGAAGAAATGGCTTCTGAACTCCCTTACCTGATCGGCAGGTCAGACTCTGAGTCCTCACTACATCCCTACATGGAAGGGCTGAGTTTAAAACGTGGTGAGGTCAATATCTCATATTCTATGGAACATCTCCAGTTCCCCTAAAAAAAAAAAAAAAATCAGGTTTTTACCATGCTGGACACAGCTGGATCAAATTTTGGATAATGAAAAATGTTCTTCTAGAAGAATTATAATGCTAATCTTTCAGACATTTATTCCAGAAAATTTTTTTAAAAACTGAAAATATCCCTCTAGTCATAAAATTTTCTCCTAATTTAATTTCAAACTTAGCTTTCAGCCATATAATACTGTATATATTTGAACTATTATTTACATTTCTATTTCCTTACTTTTAATTTGAACATTATTTTTAAATTGTAAAAATAATAGTTTGTAATGCACTCAACCAAAATTTACTTTTTACCTGGCTAATGCAGTAAACAGAGGAAAGTTGTTCATTTCACCCACATACACTTTTTATAGTACTTAGAATGATTGTGAAAAGAAAAATTAATTCTTTCCAGAAAGCTGGGCTAAGTGTCCACAGAAAGTGCCATATAAGAAAAATCAGTTGCTGCCTCAAAGAGTTTGTAATAAATTACAGAACAGGTGGAAGAAAAGAAACACTATTCTCTTGGCATTACAGCTGGCTGGAACTAAGCTCAGAATGATTTACTGAGCTGACCAAAGTCACACTGGAAAGTAGTGTTACAGACAAGAACTGAAACCAGTTTTGCTTTTTTCCAGACAAAAATGTTTATCACACACTTTTTATTCTTTATAACTACCAAGACACTTAGGTTTTGAATTTATAAATATGGGAATATTCTCCATTTTGCTCTTAATGGCAAGGAAATAAATAAATAATAAGGAAAGAAAGCTTGCAGCTGGTCACGGCTTCCATCTTAGTCCTGAGCGAGACTTTCTGATTAGGTATGATGTCCTAGAATATTCAGCAACTGCAGCAACATAAGGGCTGCTTCTGCAGAAAGCAGCCTTAGCTGTGGCTGGAGTTGATTAAAAATGAAGAGGAGTTGAAGGAGACATTTTATATTCAGTGGTTCCACAGTTTCTGACAAATGTTTGAGTTTCCATGGAAAACTACCAATTGGGAAATTTCTTAGAAAGAATGAAATTTATTTCTGCTTAGCAAAGAATGAGTTATGAAAAGAAACATATGGCACAAGGGGTGAGATTTCTATGAACCCTCTGCACAACTATCACCTCAAGAAATAGGAGCAGTTTAATATCAACTAAAGCTGTACAAACACAATTGTTTTTCACTTGCTGCCTGAGTTTGGTTTCAGGTTACCCAAAAGGAAAAAATATTTGGATGAAACATCTAGTGAAACTGAAAGCATTGTTAAGCAAACATCTGCGGTTATGTCAATATTCTCAAATCACCCCATTATGTTTCTGAGTTAGAGATGCACTGCTTTTTTCAAAATAAAAACAATTTTATTTAAAACCAAAGTATAGACGGGTTTTTTATTTCAATGAATCATTCCAATTTTTTTTTTCCGGGTGAAAGTTGGGAATCAAAGATTATTTGGGTTCATAAATAGATGAAGTTAACCCAGATTTGTACTTTTCGATAAATAAAACATTTAACAATAAAATGTGCTCCCTTCCTCTGTCTTTCTCATTCCAATCTTTAGCCTGCATGTCTTGCATACAGAGTTATGGGAGAAGTTCCTTATGTGAACCATCAGTAGAAAGGGAACAAGATCACAAAACCTTTCCCTTCTGGCTTACAACACAACCAAAAATATGAAGGCATGAGTAGTACTGAACACCCAAATGTACAAATTTATCCATTCAAAGATGAATAAATGGAAACATATTTTGAACATAAATACTTCAAGACATAAATCTGGAACTGGGCTCATCAGCTGGAGGCTTTAAGGAAATGCCCATCATTTACTACAGCTGTGAGAAAATTAACATGGGTTTAGGATGTTTTCATAAAGCAAAATATTTATAAGGAAAGCATTTCATACAGCAACAGTGTCTGAAATGAGATGTTACTGTCTTTGGGAACACTTGCTTGGGATAGTTATGGTAACAGAAGTAAATTTATACTACAGCAGGTAAAGAAAATGTATAATGCCTGGTTATGGGAACAGCCCTGATACAAAAGATGAAACTTCTTATGAGAATAACCATGATACAAAAGATCTAACATAAAGTTACATGAGCTGATTGTCAAATTTATCCAAAGGCTGACATGCTGTATGCTAATTCCTTAATAACATGCTGTAGGGGTAAATATGAAAACAGCAGCAAAGTGTAAACCAAAAGACAAAAACTAGACTATGCTGGAGGTAAATGAATACAGGAAACTTCTAATCATATGGAGAGTGATGAAATTATTAAGAGTCATCAGGAGAAGGGATCAATGCCATTTGAAGATGTGAGTTTTCTAAATTTCTGAAAGGGACTGTTTACAAAATCCCAGCAATGAGAAATTAAATTTATAATTTGAGTCCTTTGTACCTGATGTGCTGATGACTTAAGTGCCTTGGAGGAGATTCAATCATATTTTGTTTACATCACTTTTACAAGCAATTATGCTTGAACCTTCTACCAATTATGAGGAAAAAGCCCTGCCACAACTAGTTTCTGCTGGTTTTATTTTACTTCCCACTGCAGTACTGGAACATGCCACAGCTAGACAGAAAACACTCGGCTGTGTAAACTGGATTGCCAAGCCCACAAAATTCATTTAGGAAAAGACTTGCATTCATAAGCTTAGGAAACAGTCAGAAATCAGTTTATGTAAGAATTTTCCCTGAAGTCAGATTATTTGGATCAATTATCAACACCTCTAGTAGAGGCAGTTGGAAATAGATAGACTTTGATTTCTCTTCCAACTCAAACCATTCCAGGATTCTAAAAATAAGGACTGTTTTCCTGTCCATTGGTTTCCTGTCCATTGGTTTCCTCAGTTTCCTAAAATCATCTGAGAATTTTACCCCATAGATTTTTTATGTAGATTATAGCCCTTGACCACAGCCATGATCTCTTCTGCAGCATAGCCCATTTGTGGTATTAGTTTGAGAGCTAGGAAGCATTTACCATCCACAGTGAGTACAGGATGATTCCTCCTTGATCCCTCTGTAAGCCTTGATTTTCCTATCCTGTGTTCCCTCCACTCTCCAACTCACCATATTCCTGAAGTTTTTTTTTTGTTTTTTTTTTTTTTTTCCCTAGGTAAAGCAGTATATAGAGAGTATTTTTACCTGATTAAAGCAACTTACATAGACTATACATGATAATTTAGATGTGGAAATTTTTCATTACTATGGTAATATATTTTTCTAGTGGTCCTAACACTGTAGAAATGGCAAAACTACTTTCTGAGTGAGTTGTTAGTGGGTTTTCTTTTCTTTAGGTGAGAAATCTTATGGCAACAAAAACTTAACATGAGGACCATTTCACTCCTCTGATCTCCTGCAGAATTTTTGCTGAATTTGCAGTTCTATAACTCAAGATACATTTTTCACTCCTATGACAGGTGGCTACACACAGGTGTGCTGGGATTGTGGAGCAGTCTATCAGCCTGTCAGCTTCTGCAGCCGTCCCACTAATAGACTGCCAGGTCTCCTTTGTTATCCTGGAAACCTATCCTTTTATTTTCCTTTTTTTTTTCCCACTATTTTTTTTTTTTTTTTGAGGGACTGTACTCCTATTGTGAATAAACCTGTTGAAATTCAAGTATCATTATTAATTCTGCAGCAAATCTGTATGGGCAGTCTAGTGTGCCTTAAAATATCTGTGCTTCCTCATAAAATACCCCACAACTCCTGCCTGAATGTATGTGATGCTCCACACATGCTCAAAACCCCAAGAACATCTTGGCTTGCTTAGTAAAATTAATTTTGTCATTGCAGTTTTGGTCAATAAAGGTTCTTCATTTCTATGGAATTTTAAAGGTATTATGCAGAGACAACACCCTGGTTTTCTAAAGGAAATCACTAGAACAAAATAAAATATTAAAAGAGCAAAAAGCTTCTATATTTTTGTGCTGCTCTCTGGAGATATGCTTTTGCAGACAGAAAACCTGCATAGGTAAATTCAGTATATTACCTTAGCCTGGCTTATTTTGACTTGCTGCATCCACGTCAATGACTTGATAAAAACACACGTTGTATTCCAGGGCAGCCTAAAAAACTTAGGCCTGAGCTGACAATAAACAGCATAATATGAAAGCAGATATGTGCCCTCAGCTAAGTCTCTGATCCAGAATTCCTAAAATAGTTTACTGTTTAGAACGCTGAAAAGTGAAAGTATGATTAATCTAAAAATTACTGTAACCCCAACTGAGCTTGTTTATCTTTTGCCCCTCTGACACAGTAAGACTGAAGTTACTCTCATAGTTTAGCTTATAAGCCAAGTCCATGGCATTAGTTTGACAGTCAGTAGCTCTGTTAGAGTTAACACCGTGCTCCAATACCACTGCAAGGGAAAAAAACCAGCAAGTGCTCAGAGCAAAAAAACCAAAGCCGATTAGCTCCATGGAGACTTGTTTCTACATCAGACTGCATGGCTTATTGCTTCTGAAAAAGACTGCAGTGTCAGGCATGCCGGGCTGGTGACACTGAAATTACACAGACACACACACAAAAATCAATTTGTGAGCAAAACCGGCTGAAGACTGTGTGTGAAATATGCCCAAAGCATGTGGAGGGAAGTGGAGGGGGGCATTTACATCGTTATGTACTCAACTCTTGTCTCAAATCTTTGCAATGCTGAAAGAGGTGGACACTTTTTAGTATCTCTGATCACTGTATTCAAGCAGCTTCCTCTTAAGGTCCTGACTTTATAAACTTTCCCTATTCAGCAGACACTTGAGCATCTCTTTCAACCTGTTCAAGTGGCACATAAGCAGGTTCTAAAGTGCTTTGATGAATAGCGTGGATCAAAGTATGTGCTTAAATGTTTTGCTAAACAATTAAAAATTGGCTTGAGAGCTGGCATAAAGGCACTCATTGAAAATTACCAAGCTTTATGAAAATTAAATGAAGCAATTAAGCTTAGCTTTCTTATCCATTCTTCTAGAAAGGCCTATCAAGTCCAGCACACAAATTCTGGTTGTTGA